TATGTCCCCGATTTTGGTAACACATTTTTGGATTCTATTCTTCGATATTAGAAAAAGTTCTGAAGGGAAAATTTTTTATCGTTTTTATTAAATAATTTGCACCGCACATTGTATAGGAAGCCTTTACCTTCAAGGGTTTTTTAACTTAACTAATCACTTATTTTGACTTACCTGTCACATATTAACCACCCTTTTTTTTAAATTTGCTTTATTTATTTTTAAATTCACTTAGATAAAATAAGAAATTTACCTTCAGATAATTTTAAATTTGTTCGACACTCTTTTCAGGTTCATTTAAGTGACTAAAAAGGAGACCAAGATAACCATGAACATGTGGATTTAGATTTTTAATATGAATGTTTTGTTTGGAATATTCCATAACTGTAACCGTTGAGAAATAAGTTTTTTAATCTTAGAAAAAGTTTATGAAAAATGCACACCAAGATTAGTAGTAGTTTATACAAAAGTTTCTAATAAATTGAAATCATATTTAATCTTTAACCAGAAACTGAATATATGTACATATTCGATGACTCCCATATTTTTACGCCTAAAATAGAGGAATGCTGGTTGAGGACTCACAAAAGTGTAGTTTTTTTCCTTCTTTCAAATGGTCATTTGGACCCTTTATTTATATTAAAAATCATCTTACATTCCTTTTTCTATCCTTTTTATCTTTCCCTATCGTACTTTGATCTTCACGCACTAATGTACAAGATTTTCCAAATTCATAAAATATTTATTATTTAATTTGAGTTATGAAAAATATAATTATAATTTAATATAAGTATTTTATTTTATAAAAATTAATAATAATATTTTTGATTGTTTTTAATATAAGAAATAGTTATTATATATATTTTAAAAAAATATATATTATATATAATTATATTTTAAACTATATTATGATTGAGTTAACCAAAATTAAAAATTTAATTTTAAATAAAGCATTGATTAGATGATGTAAAAAAATGTAAATAATAAACTTTAATATATAGATATAAACACAACAATATAACTTCATAGTGTCATAGATATAGTTATGATTCCATGAATATTAAAGGTAAACAATTTAATTAATACAAATAAGTATAATAATATATAGTTATTGATTAATCAAACTTAACATATTGGATATTATTAATCAAACATATAATCATTGGATATCAACCTCTTTACATCTAACGAAACATGTGACGGATTGTCATCATGGGTAAGGTTTTTCTTATCAATTTTGTACTAAGCTTGTTGGACAACGGAATATTACAACAACTCTAAAAAAACCTTTTTGTGTTCCAAGCCTTTAAAAGAGTGCAAAAAAGAAGCATCCAAAGATTTAGGTGTAAAATACAAATATTAGTTGACTATACAATAACTCAATTAACAAGTTTAAAAGAGTAAAACGAAATTGAAAAAAATTAAAAAAATATGTGACGAATTAATATATTAAGTTTGTTTAATATTTTTTGTAATCTCATTTACACTTTTCTTCTTATACGTGTTTTTAAAAAGAATGACATTGAATAGATTTTAAATAGAATATTCAAAACTTAAAACTAAGAAAATCATATCTCATTTTAAATTAAAAATGTTTTTATTTTATTTCTTACCTTCCATTTTAATTCAAATAAATTAGACAATTCCTTTTTGTAATGGAATTAACATTCTCCAACAGGAGTTTTTATTATATTTTATAAAATAGAAGTTGAATTTATCTTGTTTCTTTTCCATACTAAGGGACAGAAAGAAAAATCTTCCTTTGTCAACTGTGAACGGTGGGTGTTGCAATCTGAAATTCTGCATCTAGGAAATTTTGGTTCCGTGGAGTGGGCGCGTTTCCATCCCCAAACCCCATCACACTGCACAGATTCCGTCCATGTTTACCAATTACTCGCTTCGCTGCAAATCCTCAACACAGTCGCATCAACACCCGCAAATTTCAGACTTTAGCTTGCCAAACAAATCCTAACCCCAATCAAAAGGATGTCCCTCCAAGGGTATGTTTCCGTTGCTCTGCAAAAACAGAAAATTGGATGAGGTTATTAGTTTAGACCTAAGTATAATCAACTTAATTAAAATAATATGATAACTTCAAGAGATTATTTATTATTAATAATAAATTAATTATCTAATTTCTATAAAAATAATTTTAATGTTTGTAAAACACTACAAAAAAATATTTAAATAACAATTAATTTTAAAGATAAAAAATATTAACTTTAAAATTTGTTTATATATATATATATATATATATATATATAAATTTAGGGTATGAAACATCACATCAACTATTGTTTTCTATTAATCAAGCACACATATTCACTCATGCATAAACCATACAGTCTTAAAAGAGAATTTCTTCAAACCTTTTAGCAGAATGATTAAACTCAATTCACACAGAGAATGTATTTTACAGTAAAAGAAACCTGATTTCCAGAGCACGGCTGAAGTTATCAGCTGCTTCTCCAAAATCGTTCTCTTTTATTGCCAGGTTCCCTTTTTCCATCAGCTCATTCGCCAACTCCAGAGACTTCTGAGGATCGCTAACGGAAGCTTCAGCCTTAGACACAGACTCTTCAACACCATGGGTTGTAGAAGCATTCACAGATATTTCGCTCTTGTCCTTCTCAGAAGAGTTTAGGGTTTCGTCCACTGCTACAGCTTCCTCCAGCCGAGGCATTGTGACAGAGGTTTCAGATGCAGGAGCTTCTTCCGCCATTCTCGAATTTCCCTTCAGAGACGGGAGAGAAAGAAAAAATCGAAACTGAAGTGACCTCAATTCGCAAGGGTTTGGGTTTTGATTTGAGGCTTTGGTTTCTGGCGCAAAATGGTGAAAATGAAAAGGAAACCCGAGTACGAAATGGGCCTTATACCCGCACCATTTCAGTACCCAAATTTGCCGCTTGATACCATTTCGGTATTGACAGTTTGACACGTGGTAGAAGTGATGGTAGAAAGGACATTTTAGTAATTAAATAAATCAGTTAAATTTGGAAACAAACCATGGTCACACAGGTAGAGGATCAGTGAGGTAGTGACATGGTTTGTGCAATCTCGTCATGACCAAAGTTGGTTGTGATCGTGTGTTGTGAAACCTTTGTCGACACTTTAAAACGTGAGAACTGAGATAGTTGCTGTTTTTTTTTTTTTTTTGGGTTTTTTGTCTAATTATTTTTTTTTTTTGTTTTTCCCCCTTTTTTTGGATACAAAAAGTCTGAAGAAAATGAAAGAGGAAACGGAGCAGATTGTGCAGAGGGGTTGGTAACCGCGTAGAAGGGAAGACTGTGAGAATGTTTCTACCATCAATAGCCTGCTTCAGTTGTTCTGTATGTCCCAGTATTTTGTAACACATTTTTATTCTATTCTTATTATTTAGAAAATTTGAAGGGAAAATTTTTTATTCTTTATTAAAATAAATTTGAAAGCAAATTGATAGGAAATTTAAAATTAAAGTTTTTTTAAAATTAATATATGATTTGATTAATGTCACATATTAAAAATTTTATTTTTAAATTTGCTTTTACTTATTTTTAAATTCACTTAGATAAAATAAGAAATTTACCTTCAGATAATTTTAAATTTGTTCGATCACTCTTTTCAGGTTCATTTAAGTGACTAAAGTGAGACCAAGATCACCATGAACATGTGGATTTAGATTTTTAATAATGAATGTATTGTTGGAATATTCCATAACTGTAACCGTTGAGAATAAGTTTTTTAATCTTAGAAAACGTTTATGAAAAATGCACACCAAGATTAGTAGTAAGTTTATACAAAAGTTTCTAATAAATTGAAATCATATTTAATCTTTAACAGAAACTGAATATATGTACATATTCGATGACTCCATATTTGTACGCCTAAATAGAGGAATGCTGGTTGAGGACTCACAAAAGGTAGTTTTTCCTTCTTTCAAATTGGTCATTTGACCCTTTATTTTAAAATAATATAATTACAATTTTTTATATAATATTTTTTATTTAATTAGTATTTGTATTCAAGCAATAATGTACAAGATTTTCAAAATTATAAAATATTTATTATATTAATTTGAGTTTATGAAAATATAATTATAATTTAATATAAGTATTTTATTTTATAAAATTAAATAATAATATTTTGATTGTTTTTATAATAAGAAATGTATTTATTATATATATTTTAAAAAAATATATATTATATATAATTATATTTTAAACTATATTATGATTGAGTTAACCAAAATTAAAAATTTAATTTTAAATAAAGCATTGATTAGATGATGTAAAAAAATGTAAATAATAAACTTTAATATATAGATATAAACACAACAATATAACTTCATAGTGTCATAGATATAGTTATGATTCCATGAATATTAAAGGTAAACAATTTAATTAATACAAATAAGTATAATAATATATAGTTATTGATTAATCAAACTTAACATATTGGATATTATTAATCAAACATATAATCATTGGATATCAACCTCTTTACATCTAACGAAACATGTGACGGATTGTCATCATGGGTAAGGTTTTTCTTATCAATTTTGTACTAAGCTTGTTGACAACTGAATATTTCAACAACTCTAAAAAAACCTTTTTGTGTTCCAAGCCTTTAAAAGAGTGCAAAAAAGAAGCATCCAAAGATTTAGGTGTAAAATACAAATATTAGTTGACTATACAATAACTCAATTAACAAGTTTAAAAGAGTAAAACGAAATTGAAAAAAATTAAAAAAATATGTGACGAATTAATATATTAAGTTTGTTTAATATTTTTTGTAATCTCATTTACACTTTTCTTCTTATACGTGTTTTTAAAAAGAATGACATTGAATAGATTTTAAATAGAATATTCAAAACTTAAAACTAAGAAAATCATATCTCATTTTAAATTAAAAATGTTTTTATTTTATTTCTTACCTTCCATTTTAATTCAAATAAATTAGACAATTCCTTTTTGTAATGGAATTAACATTCTCCAACAGGAGTTTTTATTATATTTTATAAAATAGAAGTTGAATTTATCTTGTTTCTTTTCCATACTAAGGGACAGAAAGAAAAATCTTCCTTTGTCAACTGTGAACGGTGGGTGTTGCAATCTGAAATTCTGCATCTAGGAAATTTTGGTTCCGTGGATGGCGCTTTTCACATCCCCAAACCCCATCACACTGCACAGATTCCGTCCATGTTTACCAATTACTCGCTTCGCTGCAAATCCTCAACACAGTCGCATCAACACCCGCAAATTTCAGACTTTAGCTTGCCAAACAAATCCTAACCCCAATCAAAAGGATGTCCCTCCAAGGGTATGTTTCCGTTGCTCTGCAAAAACAGAAAATTGGATGAGGTTCTTTATTTCGTACCTTAACTTCCTCTAACCTCTGCTCAGGAACAAGAAAAACCAGTAGTTGAACCTACCACAGTCAATACTCAGACCACTAAGACGACCACAAGTTCACTTCCTCAATTGCCAAACAAAGATGTCAACAACAAAATCGCACTTGTTTCTACTTTAGCGGCTTTGGGACTTTTCCTGTTTGCCAGGTTGGATTTAGGTGTTTCTCTCAAAGATCTCTCTACCACTGCAGTGCCTTACGAAGAGGTTTGGTTATGCCCTCCACTGCTTTTCTTCTTTTAATTAGCTTGTGTTAATTATGTCAATATATCTGTTAGTGTTCCCAAGGTTTTCAAACCGTGTTACATAGTATCTGGCACCATTTTTTTTATAATTCTTGTGCTTTCATATTGGATGGTCCAGGCTCTCTCCAATGGGAAACCCACTGTGGTCGAGTTTTATGCAGATTGGTGTGAGGTATGTCGGGAATTAGCTCCAGACGTATACAAAGTTGAGCAGCAATACAAGTAATCACCTTTTAAGTAAAACACATGCTTTCCTATTTATTATCGTTCATATTAAGCAGAACATTAAGGCCATTTTACATGAGGAAATGTGGAGTTTTGGTTTCTTTTTTACTTTTTACTTTGAATCACAAAACTCTATGTTATCTTTACTTTGGTTTCTGTTTCCAAATATTTGCACTTGGTAAAAATATGTTTTTTTTTTATGTTTACTGTATAATTTTTGAGAAATAAACATCCTGACTGAAAAAATATGATAGTTTTGTAATTAAAAGTGAAGATAAGAAATGAAAACAAAAGTAAACAGAGGTCCTTAATTTTGCTATTGCCAGTGTTAATTAGTGTTGACACAGTTTAATTTTCAACACAGGGATCAAGTTAATTTTGTAATGTTGAATGTTGATAACACAAAGTGGGAGCAAGAGCTTGACGAGTTTGGCGTGGAGGGTATTCCACATTTTTCATTCCTTGATAAGGAAGGGAATGAGGAGGGTAATGTTGTGGGTAGGCTTCCCAGACAGTACCTGCTTGAAAATGTGGATGCCCTTGCTCGTGGACAAGCATCCGTTCCTCACGCTCGTGTTGTAGGCCAATATTCAAGTGCTGAAACAAGGAATGTGCATCAAGTTGTTGATCCAAGAAGTCATGGTTAGATGACCAGTTTCATCTGTCAGTGAGCAAACAACTTGTTACTCTTGTTTACATTTATTTTTTCTTATCCACATCACAATCTTATTATGAACATTGTGCAAGTCTGTCATAGATTAGGATCTAAAAATCTAGATATCAGTCACACACATGTTAGCTCAAATGTGTCTATATTCTTAGTCTTGTTATAATTAAAATTCACTTGAATGTTTACAGGCCTGTTACTCTATTCATTTTCTGTTTTCTAACCATTTATATCTGTACACTCCACTCCCCTTCAAATTCTAAATGCACGGAATTCTCAGTCTATCAGAAAGTGATGTGTTTATTGGAAACAATGAATTTTCTGCTCCTATCAGGGTTTACCACTCAATAACCACGACTAAGATTTAAATGACATTTGCCATACATCGCGTTTATAATTACAGGACGCCCTTAGGGTTCTACTGGTCAACGCTGTTTTCTACCATATTTGTGTTTTCGTTGGACACTCTTCAAGTTCTAGTGGCCAATGCCTTAAGATTCAACTGTTTTATTGTGAATTTTTCTAACATAACTGAAACTTTCAAATGTATTTGGTGTTTCAAAACATCACCAGCTTAATAGAAATAATATATATTCTTTTGTTCTTTTTCAAAATGAAAATTCACTAAAGCAGGGTTGAGATAGACGTGGATCATGCGTCAACTAATGAAAACATTTTTAAATTAATCTGGTTTATTTCTTAACCGTTCACTTAATCGATTTTAAAAAAGATTTTTATCCATGACAGAGGGTAGAGAAATTAATTATTTTTCTCCGTTATTTTTCAATTTCTTCTGCTATGTTGATTTCTAGCTTTTAGTACAATGCTTGCTCTCATCCTGCACACTATATGTAAGATCCATGTCTGCAAACACTGCCCCAAGATCCCTGGGGATTCTCGTATTCCAGCTACTTTAAGTTTAAAACTGGTTTTGTTTCAAAAGTTGGTTCCGAATAATTTAAAACTTTTGTATATTTTTAAAAGAAATGATGTTTTTATTTTAAAATTAAATTCAAATAATTTTTTTTTTCATATACTGAAACTGTATACCTTGGCATAACTTGGACTACTCAAAGACACCCAAAATGACAATTGTAGCCAAAGGTGGTTTCTTTCAACCATAATTATATACAGTAACTAGCATAGTGTTGATCCTGACTGAGTAGTGAATTCTGCATATTGATCACTGATGATTTATGAATATAATATTTGGAAGTTAATCATACACAAAAATAGGTATAGCAACAACTGCGACAGAGAAAAGGAAGTGTTATATGCCTTTAGTATTCACATTTATGGAGGCTAGCCACCCCAAAGTAAGTATACATGTCAAGGGATGACATTTACTAACAAGCTGTTTGACGAAAGTGAGCTGTGTCCACTCGACCAATGAATAGGATCATGTACTGATACAGGAGAGCTGTCTTTCACCTCCACAGAATGAAAAAATCTCTCAATCTTCTGGGGAACTATCAATCTCGCACTCCCTTGGCCAGCCTTTTTGATACCACTCAATGACTTTTCACTTCCACTGCGAGGTGATGAACAAGTGGATCCATTCGATGAAGTCATGGCAGTTTCCTCCATAGTTGCCCATCCACTGCGTTTAATGTGTTCTAGCTCCTCTGCCACTTCCATCATAGTAGGCCTCATGTCACTGTGAAAAGCAAGGCATCTAAATGCAAGCTCAGCTACCTTATGAATAGAATACAGTGTCCAAGCATCTCTGTGTGGTTCAAGGAAGGGGTCTATGATCTCATCTACAGCACCCCTCCTAATCCTATCTACGGCAAGTGCAGCTAAGTTAACCTCACTCCTAGGTCGAGAAAAATCAACCGCTTTCATGGCAGTTATTATCTCTACCAAGACCACTCCAAAACTGTACACATCACTTTTATCAGAAAGATGGAAGTTCTGGTGGTATTGGGGATCCACATAACCAGGAGTCCCCTGTGGAGCGGTTGAGATATGAGATGTTTCTGTCATGCCAAGCCTAGAAAGCCCAAAATCAGCTATCTTAGATTTGAAGTGATAATCCAAAAGTATATTACTAGATTTTATGTCTCTGTGGTAAATTGGGGGGTGAATTGCGGAATGGAGATATGCTATAGCATTAGCAGTTTCAGTAGCTATGGTAAGTCTTACTGTCCACGGCAGTCCTTCACTCCTCTCTCTTTGCAAGTGCTGAGAAAGTGTTCCATTTTGCATATATTCATAAACAAGGATCTGCTCTCCCTTCTCTATGCAGCAACCTAAGAGTCGAACTAAATTTGGATGACTCACTGAAGAAAGGAGCTTGATCTCATTCATGACTTGGTCTGCACTGTTGGTGTCTCTTTGCCTTAACTTCTTGATAGCAACCCATTCATCACTGTGCAGTTTTCCGGCGTAAACTGTACCAAATGCCCCGGTTCCCAGCCTGTGTTTCTCAGAGAAAGAATTTGTGGCTTTTTCTACTTCTTTGTAGGGATAGAAAGGTATACTTGAGTTTCCTGCAGCTTCACGTAATTGCCGCTTTACTCTGGTATGTTTTCCCAACCAAATAGAGCGGCGCCTAGCACAGTAGCATAGAAGAAATAGACCAGCCACCACCAAAGCTCCAGCTATGCTCGCTGTCAAGTGTGAACAATCATGCAGAATTAATCCAAATATGAAATTTAAGAACTTCTCTTCTGTATTCATGTTTGTATCAAGAACGTGAAAAAATATGCATTCAATAAAAGTTTGACAGGTTAACAAAGATTCTCGTGTGAAACAAATTTCCAACATATGACTATATACAGTGAAACGAGTAGGACATTAAGATGTTAAGGTTCTATTCTATAATACCTCCAACAGCAACGCCGATTTTGGTTGCTTTTCCACATCCTCCGGAAGCCAGTGTCGATGCACTGCAACTTGAAGCCGAAGCTGATGACAAGGCAACCGTAGGAACAGATTAAAATCAATGACGATATATGCTAAAAAAACTAATATATCACATTAGATGATAAAAACATATGTTCTGGATATGCAGTATCTACTAAAATCTTCCTCGTTTGATCTATAGCTTTTGAAGACATGATTGTTATTGATCAGAAATTGCTTCTGTTTTTATTAATGTTTGAATTCTGTAAAGTTTTAATTATAAACCCGTCTGAATTAAAAAATAAACCAAACACGTGCAATAGGAAAAATCGTCAAGACGTGGCACAGAAAATGTTCGAACTAAGGTTTTATGTCAATATGAGATATCTATATTGAGAAAATGTCTAGTAGAAAGGGTAATTCGAATCACATTCAATTTGCGTTGTCAACATATGGGTGATAAATAAATTTTCAGTGATGCCATATGCCTAATGTTACGAGTAGTAATTACTACCTTAAATTTGGCAAGTTCCTAATACTAATTGCTCACGTTGAGCAATATCTCCCGTTTGACCACGTCTAATACATTGAAAATTCAATTCCATTCAACCACGCATGTGCAGCCAAAACATGTTGACTTTTGATTTCTCAAGGATTCTGTTCGGTTAAGTTACCATTTAAAACAAATAACGCGTTCGTTATTCCCTCCAACCCTACTCAAATAAAAGAAAACTCAGAACATAACGCCAATAATCTATGCAGTTGCCATACTCCCTATCTTCCATGAGATTGGATTCCTTAGAGAAGTAACACGAAAATTATAATGGGGTAAAAATTAAATAGGTTTATAAGCAAAGCTATCAATAGCTGTTCTTCCATATCTATCCAAAATTAGGGAACCTGCAATGCCTTGTGAACTACACGACCACCAGAAGAAAAACAAAATGCAAGTTGTTTTATCAGAAAGGGAAAGTCAACGTGGTTTTACAGGTAGGGTTTAGGTGAGCTAGTACAGTGTACGTCTCTTCATACTTTTGTTTTAAAAAATATTTGTTTTTTTCTTAACTTTTGAATACATCATTAATAATTCAGTAGTATGCACTCAAATATTTTACGAGTACAAACATATTCGAATATAAAGTCAATGTTTATATTTAAGAAAGATATATAAGTATTATTTTGTACATTACTTATAAAACATGATAAAATATTTTACTGAAAAAATCTAAAATAATTAATTATAAAATAAGAGAGAGAGAGAGAGAGAGAGAGAGAGAGAGAGAGAGAGGGAGATTATATTGTTATAACATATTAACAAATTTTTCCATTCCATCCATTGAGTTTAGGTCATTCTCAAGCTAAAAAGGAAATCAATGCTCTTGTACGATGTTAACTTTGCAAATTAAGAAGAAAATGTGCATGTTTTCTGCAAATAGAATGTGAAAAAAATGAGTGCAGTCTCTCGATATGGTGTGATAGATATACACTAGGCACCTAACATTTTAAAGAAGATGGGTATTTGTTTGAGACGGGTCAAAATTGGGGTCTTGCCACATGGTTATCCAGCACATAAAGCCGCAAGCAGGTGTTAAATTCTCAGTCAAACCCCGCAATTTTTCCACAAGCAAGAACCAAACCATATAATAATAAAATAATAAAACCAGTAGATAGATAAATATATGATTATATAAATAATGTGAACTCACTTTTCCGGCAACCGGTGCCATTTATGAAGCCGTCGCCGGTGAAAACCATGGATACACTGGCACCGAAACCCTCTTTGGACCGTTGAGCAGGTAGCGTTTTCAGAACATTCATCACACTGTCCTTGAAGCCACCACGCCAACTCGACCACCTGAAACTGCAGCGTAATCTCCTTGCTCTGCCCAAAATAAATCGCAGAGAACAAGTAATTACACTTAGTTTCTTTCAAATCTTTGTACGTCAGAACACCCGCCTCATCTTGTTTCGAAAAGCAACTGATATTACCACTTGTCTTATCGCAGGTTTCCACAAAATTCGAAGCCGGAAAAGCGCACCCTCGAGACGCATCGCTGCAATCTTGCACCAGAAAGCTGTTGTTAACAGAGGGAGCAAAATTGTTACCGAAAAGTGGCTCGATGGATTCCATGCTGCGGTTGCATTTTGCAGGGAGATTGACGAGTATGTTGCTGTTGGTAATGTTTTGGACCAGAAATTCGTGAAGACGAACTTTGTTGTCGGAACAGTTTAGTATGATTTCACAACCTTCGGAGAATCCGAAAGGGAACCGAACATCTGCTTCCCGCATTGCCTATTACAGGTGAGGTTTTGCGCTCTTGTTGTGCACGCTATCAAGATCGT